AACAGGGAAATGTACACCCCAGCAGATAGAAACAAGGAAATGTACACCCCAGCAGATAGAAACAGGGAAATGTACACCCCAGCAGATAGAAACAGGGAAATGTACACCCCAGCAGATAGAAACAGTGAAATGTACACCCCAGCATATAGAAACAGGGAAATGTACACCCCAGCAAATAGGAACATGGAAATGTACACCCCAGCAGATAGAAACAGGGAAATGTACACCCCAGCAGATAGGAACAGGGAAATGTACACCCCAGCAAATAGGAACAGGGAAGCATACACCCCAGCAGATAGGAACAGGGAAATGTACACCCCAGCAAATAGGAACAGGGAAGCGTACACCCCAGCAGGTCTCACGCAACACAATGACCACCTTACGCATGTACTGCGGAATTCATTTTTATCTTTTCATCATTTCTTACTGTAATTCATTAAGATGCACACCATTATAAATTATTCTGAGAATGCATATATTAACACCATGGTATGGATTTATAATGTGTCAATCCATTTTATTGTTTGGTCAATACAACAAAACAGTTACAAAATCATTTGGCCAATAGGTTTCCGCTGGTATATTATCTTGTTTACATGCTCTATCAATATGGGAATCTTTTATTACTTCATTTGTGTCAAATCCACCAGTAGTACATAATAGAATTCTCCTGTTAGTAATCAAAGAAACGTCATCATGACAACCAGTTCCCCAAAAAAGAGAGTTTAAAACACACAGGTCGAATGTATCAGCATGTTGTGCTTAAATTTCTCGAAGCTTCAAATTAGGTCAAGTGGCAGTTTTCATTCTACACTTGCAGAAAGTGTTGTATTGCATTATTGATTATAAGACCTGAAGCCAATTACAGCCCCTCCGGCCTTCGCCCCGCGAGGAGAGAGCGATTCTCTGCAGAAATTTTACCGTAAATCAATGAATACATACAGTATTTGATGAAACTTGACCCCATTAGATTCTAGTATGGAAATGCTATTGGTTTATTGTCCAGTTAGTGACACCCCACAAGCTAAGTAGGTTGTTAATGATAAAGATTGTTGGTCAGTTTATTGTGCAGTGTTTCTCCTAGGTTTACAGCTTTTTTTTGGGGGGGGGGGCAGACGGACACCAACAGGATTCATGGTGTTCATGTGTTTCTTTTAATGACAGCAGTCAAAAAAACACAGATATTTTTGTCTGCTTTTCAGGTGGTTGACGTGACATATTTTCCAACGCGCGCTCTCTGTCCGCTGGTGGGAGTGTGCTCACCATGCATGGTACAGAGAGCAGAGGAGAATTGTAAACGCGTAACCGTGTAGAGACAAAAATAACAAGCTGTTGTGTAAATAAGGTAAATAACATAAGGCTATAGGAAAGGTAACCTTAAATTACTTCTGCTGTGATCTGGCGCTATATAGAGAATAAAATTAAATAAAATTAACTTGATCTTCAAGGGGGGGCGGGAGGTGCCATTGGGGGGCGGGGCGCCCCCATAATATAATGGTACGAGAAACACTGTGGTGGTATGGGTTGACCAGACTAAATAAACAGGGAGAAAAGTTTCTGGCTATATCATTATAGCCCAACAGACGGGATATACAAATTCTGGAACATAAACCAAATGGTGCACTGCTTCCCGATGTTACAAATAGTACGTCTTTGTCAGAGAAGAAACTCCATGAAAACAGAAACCAATACCTTTACTGGAATTACTTACACATAACTCCAGACAAGTCATTGGCTAGAGGTACGCAAAGCCTCCATGTATTAACTGTAACCATTCAAAGGAGATGTGTCTGTCAATAACAGCCATCTGCAGGGGGCTCAGATTAGAGAGGGACTCGATTTGTCACCCCCCACTACGTTTGACCCTGGCACAAATCTTGACCCATTTCTTCTGGGTCTCTCTCTGTATGTCCTCGCTCTCAGAGTACACCGTCAAACGCACCTGGGTCTCTCTCTGTATGTCCTCGCTCTCAGAGTACACCGTCAAACGCACCTGGGTCTCTCTCTGTATGTCCTCGTTCTCAGAGTACACCGTCAAACACACCTCGCCGCATGTGCACTATTTACAGAAGAGATGCTCATTAGCCTTCATTTTTTGGCAATCCTAATTATTCCTTGACCAACTGATGAATTTTCTTTGCAGAATTAAATCGTAAAACTGCTACGCAAATAAAGTCATTCTGCTTCCTTCATGCATTACGGGAATGAGCGACACTTACGCAGCACAGGGCAGGACCTCTTCTACTGGGGGGGAGCAGTGCTCAGACTCCTCCAGTGGGGGACACTCTGCTCCTCCCCCCACGGGTAGCTTCTGCACGGGCCTGGTGCGGGTCCGCAGGCCCTCGGGGGTGTTGGGGTCGTGGCAGTCCTTCGAGCAGGAGCCCCACTGGGTCCAGTCACCCACCACACAGTCCATGGCCATGACACAGGACTGGAAGGTCACTGGAATCTGGTCCTGGTCACAGAGGCTGGGACAGTGAGGAACTTGATCAGTAAACCAGTACAACGTGGTGGGAATTATGCGCAGCACCATCTTCACCGTTAAGCACCAGACTGCAGAAAATAGAACAAAGTAAAATAAAAAGTGACAGAGACCGCCATAGGAATGTGTCCATATCCAACAATCACTCTCCTTTGACTAGAATTCAAAGTTTCATTAGCAATCCATTTTTATTTCTCCCATATTGTGAACTGCAATCAACCATTATTATTTGCAGATTGCAATTATAAACGAAGGAATAACTCTTAGCGTGACTAACAGTTTGGAACAGGGTGATTCAGAAAATATAATTTTCGATCTGCTTGAGTTTTCTTTTCTGAAGTATCACACCTGGCTAGTTATTACCTGTAATTACACATTTCTATCATTTGCCCCTTACTTAAACCTGTCACAGAAAGAAGTACCCATTTTCAACCCACTTCCTAATTTTGTTTCATTTTGTCTGTGATCACTTTGATTGGAGGGCAAGTCTTGTTGAACTGACACAGCAATGTGACTTTGCTATGCCAAAAACAACGCGACACAAAATCTGCAATTAGTCTCATGCTATGTACGGAGCATCGCAGAAACAAAATTACACAAAGCATCTTAACGTGTTTAGGACATGTGTGTTTAGAGAACGCTTCAGATCTCAACTGAAAATACTACAGATCTCAACCCAATTTCCTTCGACATGCAGAAGACTTATGTTTTGTCATGTATTGCTGAAGATAGCACAAGCCATGACCAGCCTACACCATGATTCTCGACTGACTAAGCAGATGGATGGATGGATGGATGGATGGATAAATCCATATTAATTTAAGGAAAAAAGTAGTATTACATTTCCCTGGGGCATTTCTTAATCATAGCTGCTTAAGGGTGAAGTATTCCTTCAAAACTTTAATTAAGATAATTGTATTCAGAATTGTGATTGCAGGTGAATAAATAAAAGACAGCAATCAATACAAGCATGAAGAAATGTCCTAATAATTCTTAAACATGAACCTAATACTACTCATAAAGAACAACCCTGAATTATGTAAAGGATAAGCTTAAAGAAAGCACAGCGGTACCTTGGAACATGAACTTAATTCGTTCCAGAAGGCTGGTTGAGTTGCAATTTGGTCGAGTTCCAAGTCAAATTTCCCCATAAGAAACAGTGTAAATTAAATTAATCCGTTCCAGACCCCCAAATAATTGCCTATTTAAACTAATCTACCTCCCTACTTAATGATGAACAGCATTAACAATCAATAAAATACTATTACTTGAAAGAGCACACATACAAAAGCAATAAACATGAAATAAATGAGAATCCCAGACTCCAAAGCGAGAGCAGACACACGTGCACCACCTTCAAGTCTTGCTATAATTTCCTTTTTAGATTCTAAAGTTACTCTCACTACCTTCCTCTTTGATTTGCTGCTATCAGTGCTCAGTTTCTTAGGGGGCGTGATTACTGTATCACTAAATGTACTGTAAACACACCGAACACAGGAACACAGCTTTCGCACGTTGAAGTCGGTCGAAAGGCACTGTGAGACTGACAGCGTTTCATAAACATCAGCATCCCAGTAGGTCCGTTTGCCTTTGTTTCAGCCCATCAGAGACGAGTCTCTATCCGTACATGTCCTAGCCGGTCTGTATTCTTTCGTTGTGTTCCGAGTTTTCGGGCAGGTTTTTCTTGACCTACCCATCCGAGACCCATATTGGTAGAGCTGAATGCGTCTCGACCCATACAAGTTTTAGCAGGAATGGTCGAGTTTCAAGATTTAGGTCGAGGTACAAGTCGAAAAAGATTCACCAGACCCATTCCATGTCCGACTTGGTCAAGTTAAGAGGCGTTTTGAGTTCCAAGCTTCTACTGTATTATAGAAAATACAACATGATGAGGACAATTATCAGCTACAAAGTTTGTCTCTGGGAAGCCAAGTTGTGCTGCAAAACCTTAGAAAAGGAAACATACAACATACAAGACAAAACTAAATCATTAGATGCTGGCTACTAATGGATCAGGGAACAAGTGGGGAAATAAATAAAAGCAACAAGACAGAGCAATAACACAACAATAAAACAACAATAAAACAATAAAAGTTGAATCCTTTTCTAGTCATACACATCTGAGAAAAGTTTGTTCCACTTTTTTGCTAAATGGTAAAACAACTATGAATATTTCAAACCAGAAATAAACATGTCACAAGATTAATATTTATGCTCCTAAGGGCATCTGAGTTATTCCTTTGAAATATTAGATTTCTGTCACTACAGAAAATCCAGCACCGAGAACGAAATAACGAATGGATTTAGTACATAGCTGATTAACTGTGAAAATACTGATGCAAAACACAAATAAACCATATAAAAAACACACCCTCCCTGAGCCCCAGTCTGACACCGATGTGAGAGAGAATCGTTTCCCACCGTCTTTTGTGGCACGAATTCAGTTGTATCTGCTGGGCCTTGGTTTCTGTTGCTTTCTTGCTTCCATGACATGGGAGATTTTACCGAAATATTACACTGGGTAATTTTTAGCTGCTGTCAAGTAGCAGGAGAGCTACAGTGCTGTCGCAGTGCTGACTGCGAGGTTAATTTATGCAGCGCTGCCTTGCTGCTGGTTGTGAATCTTGTCCTCCCCGCTGCTGTCAGCAGGCATCAAAAAGCAGACTGACAAAGCAAGGGGGCATTTTTCTGGAGAAAAGCAGGATCCCTCCTCAGCGCTGACGCAGTAGCGCGCGCGTCTGTTCTGTATCTGGGCATGTCTATGTAGCCCAGTCGTTCTGAACAACACATCTCTGCAGATTGATGTATCATGTTACTTGCACAATATTTCTAACTTACGTTATTCCATTTCTTATTGCTAATTGGAAAACCAACTTATTTCAGCTCATTTTAACCGAAGGTATATAAATTGAATAGCTAGTGTTTATTTAATATTGCCATTTAGTTAATTAATGTAGTTAACGATGCTGCCAGCCCTTCCCACTGTGTATCTGCGGGGGAAGCATCACGCAGAGCTTCTGGTTCTCACCTGAGGGCAGCAGTCTTGCCGGTCCTGTGGCTGCACATCACCTGTCTGCTCTGGTACCCCACCTGCACCTCCCACAGGTCGCTCTCCTGCCGGTTCTGCCGGTTCCGGTTCCGCTTTTTCTTAACGAGCTCCCGGGCGTCCGGGTCTCGTTCCACCCCCCTCCCGTGGTTCCTCTCCTTGCTTTTCCTGCGCCCGGTCTGCCGTGCGGGGCGGGAGTGCGGCAGTGTGCAGGGGCCCCACGGACCGACCTTCAGGCTGTACTGGCCCTCGGGGGCCCGGCACGCCGGGAGCTGGCAGGCGCGGAACTCTGTCAGGTTGGGGCACGGCAGGCCGCCGAAGAGAGGAGGTGCCAGAACTCCGCGGACGCGCCGCTGCAGGCTGCCGCCACAGGTCTTGGTGCAGGTGGTCCAGGGGGAGAACTCAGACACTACACAGTCCCGGGGACAAGGAATGAGGCACGCCTGCTCGAGCCGCGGTCTGGGCTCAAAATACTCGCAGATGGCATCCTCCGCCGGGGCCCCGTCGGCCGTGTGAACGCAAGCCACCTCCCGGGTCTGGATGCCTTCCCCGCCGCCGGAGCACTCGGCTGACCAGCGCCCCGCTGTGGAGCGGAGGGCCACTGGTACGCAGCTGTTCCAAGGGCCCAGCTGCCAATCATACAGCTCCCTGTGCCAGTCGCAGACACGGAAGCAACTCTGCTGGCTTTCAGGCCGCAGCTCCTGTGGGCAGTTGGTGTGCAGCGTGGTCCAGCCGTCCACGTGGGTGCACCACACCGCCCGGCTCTGCCGGCCCCCGGGGCCACAGTCACTGGCCATGCATCTGCCCCAGGGCCCTGAGGAAAGAGGGGTGTCATGAAAATGAACCAATAAGAGGAAGAGCCCTAAAGATGAAATTGCGAGCTACTGCTTCAACTATAAAGGAGACCCTTTTGGTAGATTTCCTCATCCATCCATCAATTCATCCAGCTTCCTTTATTGCTCATCCAGTACACGTCCGTAGTGAGCCTCCAGTCCCAGGAAGCACAGACCACAAAGCAGCAGATGCCCTGAATGAGGTGCCAGTCAATCACAGTGAGATTTACCCAGTGACTGAAAATATTAGTATAACCCCTAGAGATATTCAAAATTTTGCTCATATTTACATTTAGATTAATTTTATCCTGACCTTTTTAGGGGTCCTATCACCAGTGTGACATTATTTTATTCATGGTAAACAGACATCTGGCTTAAAAAGCTTTACAGATATTTCCAAAATAAACTTGATTCATGCATTTAAAGAAAGATGTAAACACACATATCTTTTGTCTATTGGCTGAAACATTGTCTACGTCCTTGTCTTATTGTGAGGGAAACAAGATAATTTGGTGATACTAGGTAATGGCTGCACTGCGTAAACTAGATTACATGATTTAAAATGAAGACCAGGGCTGTTCATCTTTTTTCAGCTTGGGGGCATGAGGACCAAATTTCGTCAGGGGTATATAAAAATAAGCAAAAATATTTCTTTCCCAGTCGATATAGGTAATTATCGCAATATAATTCAAGTTATTGTTTTTTTAAGGTTCGATTTTTCCATAAAAATGCTCCAGATTCGGAGCATGAAAAAGGCAACAAATCGAATGTGCTCCTAACTTAAGTTGTAGGGCGTAACATTAGAGAACGTCAACAGTACGGTTCGTTGCTGTTTTTTGTTTTCTCTGACTGTATCGTAGCACCACACCACCAATGTCCTTTGCTTGTTTATCCACAGCTGTGGTTTTCTTCATCGATACCTGAAGATTCCTCTAAGGGGGTGCTTATCTCTTCCATGACATGTGTTCTACTCCGTACTCCGCTAACTCAGTCAAACCTAGCTGTGCATTTGCTGGGCATAGGCTGTCCGTTCTAGACATTGGTAAAGCCTGGGATGTGAAAGGAGCATGTTTGCTATCAAGCTATCAAGCAAAGCTATAACAATAGTTTATCAAAGTTCCTCCTTTTCTTATCGACGATAAATCAATATAACATTTATATCACCCAGCCCTTATCCTTTCAGTAAATTCCCCAGACTGAGGAATTTTCCTGGACCACCGGCCTGCGGTTGAGAGACACTGGTCTTGAATGTTTTCAGCACTGGTTTATGTTTGGGTGAGGGGCTGCATATGGCTTGCATTCAAAAAAGTGTAAATCACACCAGTAAATCCACTAGATGAAGTGAAGAAGTATTCACTCCACCCAAGGCTGCATTTTATCTTTAGCAATTTATTGCCAATTTGTAAGCTGATACAGGACTTTCCAAATGGGGATATTAGGCTTGATATGGATGGGACAGTGAATGGTTATACAAGGTTATTGCAAAGTTCTTTACATTTCCTTGGATAAGGCCGTTTGCCTGGAAATGTTAATAACAGTGAGGGTCAATGCTGGGATTCATGTAATTTAAGGCCATGTCACAGATGGTGCCCAAATGACACCACAAAAGTGATGCTTGTAATGAAACAATACCATAATCAGCAATTAGCTTTCGAAATGAAGTCATAATTTGGGTGAGTGGAGATGCATAATTAGCATTTCAGTCTGCCATCCTCATCACCAGGGAGACCAACCCTAACATGAGGCCACGCGGAATCATATTGGCCAGTTCTGCAGCTCTGCTCGGCAAGCCTAGAGTCCTAGTTTCACTCTGCTGGATGAGCATGTAAATATGTCAGTGAGTATTTCAGCCAGGCCTGTACATGCATGTCCTCAAGCACTCTCTACAGCATATTTCAGCCTGTTTGTTTATTTGTTTGTTTACTGCCCAGTTAGCAGCAAAAAAAATAAATAAAAAATGTGTTAGATGTTTCTCACAAACGTCCAACATGTATCAGCATATGAGCTCACGCGTGGCTGGTGTTCTGGGACAATGCAAGCACACGCACACGGGAAAGCACTTGCTATTCATGCACGGTATTATGTACTTTGCTTAATAGCTGTCAAAGATAAGACATCTGTGATAGCACATTCAAGAGAAAAAAAGAAAAAAGTTTTTGCCTGGGGCTAATCTCCTCTGCCATTTGTCAAAGTAAATGAGACCCATGCAAAATCACTTCGCCAACAATAATGTGATTTCTGTTTCACGCCTCTGATACCGTCCCACAGTGCCAGCCTGTGTGTTCCTGCCAGAATTTCACTATGGAAATGCAAACCGGCAACGGTAGATCAAGCCAAGGAACAAATCTCTTAACTCGCCCTGCAGAACATCGGTTAACACAAACTCGGCTTGCAGATAGAGCCTGCATCCTTCCTCCAGAAGCTCTTTTTCTATCCTTAAACAAGCCTGAAATGTCTTGATTGCCTAATTTTCCCAAGAAGCCCAAATATCACTGCATGAACAGCTCGGGAAACCAGGCACTTGATCTGAGATTGTCTGAGTCGACTGGAAAACATGCTAAACTGACGTGTCATTATCTCATTATAGAGCTCTCTTGTGGGGAGGAGCGTCCCTACAGGACAAACCGATTTCTTCTTAACACCTGTGGACCTCTTGCAGTTCCTCGACCCCACATTATCATTGATTTAAAAGGTGTTTCCTTTCCTGATACTCACTTGACTGGCCTTGATTCCTGGGGATCATGTTCCATTATAAAATATTTATAATCAACATGAGTAGGAGCTCTTAAATGATTCAGATTCGGCATGTGATCCATGAGGTGTGTCACGAGTAATTAAGGGCAATGTTCACCCAGCAGGCCAACCAAACCCCCAGTCCCTGTTCACATTCGCAACGTAGTTGATTCCGGATCAGAAGCTGCAGGGTGCGCTAGGCTGGGGTGGGTCCCTGTCCAGGCATTTGGCTCCACATTTTAGTACACACGCTTATTTTTACTAGATTCACAAGTGTCACACATGCGTTTTAAATAAAACGTGCACAAGCAGCCGTGAACGGAACGTGGACGAATCCTGGCATACTAGCTGAGAGACGCAAAGAGCTCAGAGATAAATAAAAATTCACACGGTGCCGGACTAGGAAGCTGAAGCAGCGCGTGACACCGGCTCCTGACCAAAACAGGCATCGCAGCGGGTGGATCTGAGCAACTCGCCACTTAACGCAAAAGAAGCAGCAGCGCGGTGTTTCCTTACCACCCCCCGCCCCCCCGGAGAAGCCGATAGCATAAAAATGGCCCAGAATCGGTCTGCTTCAATTTTCCATCCAGGTCAAGGACCGCGGTAAAGTTAAGGTCATAAGTGAGGCGTGATTTTCTGAAAGGCAGGTTCTCATAAAATCATTCATATATATTCAGTCCAATGCAGAGTTTGCATGACATTTAAAGAAATGCATATAAGGACGTGCTGAGAAATCAGACAGTAATATTTTGCACTGCACCGTACTGTGGTATAAGTAGAGGACAGCCCTTATCGCCTTACATTATTCTTTAACCCACTATTTCATTTTGCCCCTATCTAAATATAAAAATACTACCTGAACATGGACACGTAGACACATATTGAGCTCAAATGCATATTTATGTACCTTTGATAAGCTACTAGAAAGTCAGGGGCTCGTAGAACGAGAAGCGAATGGCCGGGCGCCGGGCTGCCAAAGGAGCGCCCTGGTCTTTTTTTTACACGGCGCGTGGCTCCTCTCAGCCGCAGCCCCGTCACTCACCAAGGCGCCCCCTACAGTCGAAGTGTGGCACTACGCCATCTCTCCAGGTGGGAGGCATCCTCCTAAGCTTCCAGAAGCACTCACGGAGTGGAGTTCAACCTCTGAACTGTCACGAAGGATTTCCCAGAATAAATAAATAAACAAACAACAAATGACGGCACTTAGAAAGAAGCCTGCCACAAACATGCATGACTGACGGCTAAAGCCAAAGCGGGGATTAAACATGGACGTTTCTGTTTAGTCGTAGCTGACAGTTTTATCCTAAGTGACTCGTACGGCTTACAGGCAGGCTGCGCCTATTTCTGCCTCTCAATATTTAAAGACGTCATTTAGCTTGAGGATCTGGTTCGTCGGTACAACAGAAAAGTGGGATTGAATGCGCTAATCTGCAAATATAGTCTACCTAGAAATTACGACCCAAAAATTGCGGCTATCGAAGAACAAGAATGTTAATATCTTGTTTTATCACTTATAATTTTCTAGACCCTGTTTATAGAAATTGAAATTAGTCAACTTTAGGAAGGAATTATGGATTGATTTTACCAATAATTTTCCTTAATTTCAGTTCCCTCTATAACTGTGACTCCCCGCTGTAAACAGACAACAATAAACCACTGCAAAGTGCTTTATAACTGATAAAGCTGAGAATATACTGGGATAAGGAAAGCAATGCTGAAAACTGTTGAAAAATTGTTTTTCATGCTGAAGGTTACGCCGTGATAAACCCCATTTTCACAGCAGACGAGCGACATGTCATTCTTGATTGTTTGACTGGCACTCAGGAGGTCTGCAGTCGGCGCTAATCCATCTGCTGTTCTAAGAGGCACCCCGGGGCAGATTGCCCGTATCTGTGCCCAGTTATCGGTGCTCCCTTCTGGAGACACAGAAGGCACATCTGTAGTCGGTGTGTCCGGCAGTCCTTAAGTAATGCGACAGGCAGGGAAATTGCTCTCCCGCTGGGAGGCTGCCCGCAAAACACCCACGCCACATTCGTTATGAAGCAATGGGATTTTAAAAAGGTGCTAAAAACGGGACGTTTCCTGAACACACTGACCCCTGCAGGCGGGTGGCGGAGCCCGCAGGGTAATGCGTTCAGTAGGCAGTAATTGAATATTCCCAATTTGGCGCCATACAAAATTCATTAATTAGCTGCAACGTTCCACTGGAAAGATAGTCGGCAAGGATATCAGTTTTAATGACTTCGTA